GTGCGAGCAAACATCTATGGACTCATCAAGTCTGCGGGAAGCAGGAAATGCAGCGCACCTGCTGTTTCTGCAAGGACTGGATCTCCACCTCGATGGCCACGGCCTGAACCTGCATTTGTCCAATCTTCCCCTGAGTTCCACGAGGGGTCATACGGATCAACAGTACCATGTTCCGACACGCCCTTCTTTTTCAGTGTGCGAGTGGGTTTGTGCCCCGCGCTCGTGTGTTGAATGCATTGGGATGTCGTGTTGGCCAACGAGTTGCCAGCGTCTGCCAACCGTAATTCCAACAATACGCCAGCCATCTTGCCGCCGTCGCCAAGCTTAGAGCACTCCGATACGGCATATGCTAACTACTCGATGTTCTCATTGGGATCCATTTGCCACTTGCTGCCGAAGCCCCCCTTGTTGTGGTGAGGGGACGTCCACGGCTGGGTCGCACCAAAACCACTCGACGACGCGAGCTTGCCGAGCTTCTCCTGGACTTCCTCGAGTGGTCGAGCTATTCCTGCACAGGGTCAGCACTGCCAGCAGGCCCCCCGACGCCAACGAGGAGGCCGCCCGCTGCCACCGCCACCGCGGTCGCGCGCATGCTGCTCGGGAGGCGCGCGCCGCCCGCAGCGCGACGAGAGCCCACGCCCAGTTGGCGCTCTGGCCACACGCGGTGCACGCCCACGTCGGAACTCGGGGGCTCTGGGAGGATGTCCCCCGTTCCTCCGCGGCCGCCGCCACTGGACAGGCGCCCGAGCGCTGCCCGGGGAGAGAACGCTGCGCCTGCGCCACCAGGGGCTCACCGAAAGCTGGCCGATGCAGCCAGGTCTGAGGACTCGAGCCTCTGGGGCCGGGGCGGGAAGGACCTCTGTCAGGAGACAGTGGCTACGAGCAGGAAGAGGACGAGAAGGAGGGATCATGAAGTACATAAAAAAATGAGGAGGCGCAGGAAAATGTTGGAGGCGGAGAGGGATGCGGAGGAGGCAAGAGAGGAGGAGGAGGATGTGGGAGGAGGAAGAGGAGGAGGAAAAGGAGGAGGAAGACGGAGAAGATGAGGTGGGAGGATGTGATGGAGAGGAGCACGAGGAGCGTGGTAGCGGTCACTGCGCAAGGGAGCAACACGCACCACGCAAAAGAAGACGACAACTGAGACGAGGCGCGCTTACGATCCGCATCAAACTACGGAGTCGGGAAAAAGAACGCCAAGCTCTTAGGGTGGGCCCATCTCCGAATCCGCTTTCTGTTGTGAACCGTAGGTGCATGTGATCACGCCTCGTCTCCGTCGACGTCGTCGTCGTTTGTGTTTCCTTCGTCGAAGTGCGTGCTGCTCCGCTCGCGACTCGTTGTCTTCATCATGCGGTGGCCATCTGCTTGGCTTGTCAGGCATTGCCAACACTGCCCGCCGCCTGGCTGTCTGTCCGTCGGTATGTCTATCTTCCGCAGCTATCTGAGCCGCGGCGCTCAGAACTTCTTGGCATGTGGACGAGGATGAGGCCGAGGAGGAAAAGTACGCGGGAGAGCGGACAGGAAGAGAACGATGCGAAGGAAGGAGGACCGATCCCCCTCCCCCTCCCTCCCTGCTGCTCCTGCTCCATCCTCCCAGACCCCCTGCGTCGTGCCTGGCTCGCTGTTCGCAGCGTGGCAGCGTGGACCTCAGGAGGTCTCGGCCCCTTCCCCGGGACTGGCGTGCCGCCCTGGGTCCGTTTGCGAGGCGGCGCCGCGGCCTAGCAGAGGGCCCACAGGGGCGGGAACCAGCCAGCAGCTTCCGCCCTGCCCCAGGGGGCCCGGGACATCCCTCCCCCGCCCCCCCCGCCACCAGCGCCCCGGCCAGGCAGCGGAGCAGGGCTGTGTGCGGCCAGGGCCGCGCGGACAGAGCGGGGCAAGCCTCGCCACCGAGGGGGGTGGAGCCCTTCTCGCTCCTCGTCCTCATCCTCGTCCCCCTCGTCGGTTCCCTGCTTGTCTTCGAGGTCCTCCCTCCTCCATCTCCTTCCTCCGCGGGGGCCTCCCGCGATCTCCCGGAGTGCCGCAGGAAGTCTCTGCAAGTCCCCGGAGGCCCTCCGAGGCCCCACAGAGGGACAAGCGCTTCCATCGAGACCTCAGTCGTCGATCCTGCTCCCCCGACGTCATGACTATCCCAAAAACGTGGACCCCGAGGTCTCGACGTCTTCCCTGGCACAGTTAGTGGGCCACATGCGAACCCTACCCCTACCCCCCACGATTTCTGAGGGGGAGGGTGGGGTTCACTTCGTTCGGGAGCTCCCGAGTGGAGTGAACCCCACCCTCCCATTCAGAAATCGTGGGGGGTGAGATAGGGTTCGCATGTGGCCCCCCTAACAGTTCATCTCGGGCGGGTTTGGACGGTCCCAAGGGTCTGGTGCCAACCCCCAGAATCGAGCAGGGGAACAACCACAACATTGATTTACCCCACCATTGCTGTTCCGACGAGTCTACGGAAGAATGTAGAATGCTCCGTAGATCTACGGAACATTTTACGCGTTGCTCGTAGACCCTACGGGAAAACCGTTTCTATGGTACATCAATTATGTAGTCCATCTCCTACTCGGGAAAGGGCGAAAACCAGCAAGTACCTTCCTTCTTGATTTCTGTCGCGCCGCGATTGGGGGCCCTGGGTTTGTCGCCCCCTTCTGCTCATCGGCAGAAGCCGAATGTCTACCTTCCTTACATCTGGGCCTACTCAGGTACTCGGGGAAGGGGGGGAAGGAAGCGGACAGAGGTTGTCGAAGCGGCCCAGGGACACACAAATACATAGACACAACGGATGTTCACATATGTTCTTGAGTTTCGTTTTCCTCCCCCAATTGCAATAGTTTCCAGCATTTTCAAAGGAATAGAAGATCAGTTGTGTCTGTATGGCTCTCCCCTCCTGAATTGTAGCGGAGATATCCCTGCACACCCGAAAGGCGTTCGTACACATGCGTTTCAGTGTGCATGAGCACCTGGTCCAGCCCATGAATTGTGAAATGATGGAATTGGCTGGCGTACGCAGTGCACCAACAAGGTACCGTTCCGCACGTCTGCTTTGCAGAGCATCGACGGCTGACGACGATGGACATGCCAGGGACACCGCGACCAACACACATCTGTCTCAACATGGAGCCTCCGCAAGCCTCTGCAGCTCAGCACCTCCCCGGAACGAGCCGCCCCTCGCATGGCAGCCGAGCAGCCCCGGACCATCTCTGCACAGCTCGCGGAACAGTCCCAGGGTACTACCTGAAGGGGCCCCAGGACACACAAATAAATACACACACTATATTCCCTATATTTTTTCATATTTTCTCGGTTTTTGTCTTCCCCCTCACTTCCCATATTTTCCCATATTTTCTTGGGAATCGACGATTAATTGTGTCTGTGTGTTTCTTTCCCTCCTGACTACCATCCTCGACGAGGTCCGCTTGAAACACGCCCGCCCCACAGTGGAGGCCAGTCCACAGGAAACCGCCCACGAGAAACCCAACCCTGAGACCCCAGGGCGTCCCTTGATCTTCGGCGTGGGGACGCCACGCTTTCCACAGCAAGCCGTCGAAACCCGAGGAACCCAAGGGCACCCTGGCCCACAGTACTACCATCCTCGACGAGGTCCGCTTGAAACGCCCGCCCTAAAAACAACCCCGAACAACCGCCTGCACAGCTCTTGACCACACATGGGCGGGCCTCCTGCCCGATAGCTGTGGCCCAGCAGCGCGGCACGCGCGCTTCTCGAGTGGCCATTCCAGCTGAGAGTGCGCCCACAGTGGGGCCTAGGACAGAAGAGCACTCTTCAAGGACATGAGGCCCTCCGCCGGCCCAAACTGGAGCACACTCGAGGGCACCCTCCCCCAGGATCCACAAGAACATCCAACAAGCACGAAAAACATTAGTGTATGAAGGGGTCCTGGGACACACACACACACACACACACACACACACATATCAATACACACAAATGACAGGATTCCCTATATTATCCTATATTTTCTGGGTTTTTGTCTTCCCCCCCACTTCCCATATTTTTTTCATATTTTCTGGTGGATCGACGATTCATTGTGTCTGTGCGTTTATTTGTCCCCTCCTGAGTGTACCCTCCCCGGGTCGACCTCGATCTCACACCTCGGTCCGACGGCACACGCCATGCACCTGCGCGTGTGGTCGAGGCCCCCGCCGCGAGAACCCCTCCGCGAAGCTGACGCGATCAGCGTGCACAAGCCATGCTATACAGTCAGGGGGACGTGAGACCCGGGTACGGGGGACTCGGAAATCCCCGACGAGGTCGTCAAAAAAATGACGAGGCCGAGCCTGCATTTTGACGAGGCCTCCCGCTGCAGACATCCCACGAAACTCCTCCTCGTCAAAATCCGATGCGCGGTCGTCAAAAAACGATGGCGAACCCGAGTCCTGGCAAACCCGGGTCTTACGCTCCCCCGATACAGGCAAAAACCCAAAATAAGGACGCGCGGGAAGGACGCAGGACCCTTGGGAGCCGAGGTTGGGAGTTCTGGGGCGGCGGACGACGAAACCCTCTCAAGGACGCAGGAGCAAGGAGGAGCAAGGAAGAGCAAGGGCACCCTGAGCAAAGCCGCGCGTCCTTCTTCGGGCTTGGGACTGTAACTCGTCGACCTGGAGGAGCGCTGGGGGGCGCATGTCCCCCCCCTCTCCTCGGACGTGGGCTCTGGCCATCCGATGGCAGACGCTCCGGACCTCCGAGAAAGGTGGGTAACCCTTTGACCTCCGCCACCCTCTGCCGCCCACTGCGGCGGCGGACCCGCCGCCGCTTCCCTTTCCGCCGGCCTCCGCCTGGGGCGAGGATGCGCCGGAGGGGGAGCCCTCTCGGGGGCCACGTGCGAACCCCACCCCTACCCCCCACGATTTCTGAGGGGGAGGGTGGGGTTCACTGCGTTCGGGAGCTCCCGAGCGAAGTGAACCCCGCCCTCCTCCTCAGAAATCATGGGGGCAGGGGTAGGGTTCGCATGTGACCTCCGACCCTCTGAGCCAGCCCCTCAGCGCAGAAGGGCCTGCGCCGCCGCTGCCCAGCGTCGCCACGGCAGCGAAGCCGCCCGCCAGGGCCCCGAGGGGGCCCCCGAGGCCGTCCCCGAGGCGGCCGTACAGCCCAGCAGCGCGGCTCACCTTGAGCTCGGGAGGGGCTCGGGGTTGCACGCAGGAAAGGGGGGGAGCAGGAGGAGGAATGCCGAGGGCAGAGGTGGATGGGGAAGGAGCTTCTTTTCTACCCTACTGTACATGAAGAGTGCACGGATTCCTGCTACAATTTTGCGCACGCGAGCAAAAAAAGACCATCGGACCTCTGGGAATCGACCACCCGACGTTGGCGGGGGACCCCTTTTTCAAAGGGCTCAAAAGCATCCTTCCCTGCCTGTAGCGCGTTCTATATTTTCACATCTTCTCCCGTCTTCGGTGTCCTTCACATCCATGATCTCACAAAGGCCCGCAGAGGATCCTGCGAAGGCCCCAGAGAACCCAGCAACGGAAGCGTCCCGGATCTGCGGCACTGGCCAGAGGCCACTACAATAAACCGATCAACCGATAAACCGATAAACGCCATTGCGCAGGCCGACATGTTAGGGCGGTGTCCTTAGGGCTGGGGCATCGCTACGCGTCGAATACGCCGGTAAACAGACAAACCGATAAACCGGCAGACGCAGTCGGAACTGAAACCCCAAGGGACGGGTTTATTTGTTTACCGGTTCGTACGATTATCGACCGATAAACCGATATGCTAATATCGGTTTATCGGTCGACGGACAAATAAACCGATAAACCGAACATTGATTTCGGTGTATCGGTTTATCGGTTTAATGGTTTTCGTGTGTACTCCTGCGCCTGCAATCGGAATTTCAACAACCGTTACATTCCGCTCGCGACATCCTTGATGTTCAATCCGCTGGCAATCTTCGACCTTGTTATTCATCAGGGATCAAATCAGCCTGCCCTTTCCGAAATTGGCGCCGTGGACATATTGCCATTCTAAAAGAGACCCCTGGGCCTAAACCTTTTCCGGGAAAAACGGAATTATAATCTATCACCCCCCGAGGCCGGAATTACCCTCCCAGGAATGTGCAATTTGAATACGATTCTGCCCCATCGCTCATTCTAAGCATGAGCTCGTATCATCCTGGCCAGTCCAGTATCGACTGGCCCCCTTCATCCTTTGCAAAAAAAATGCGCGCACACTCGTTTCATCACAACTCATCAAACATCGAGAATCCCTTGCAACAAAAAACCTGTCGAGGCACACATTCATTTTCATTTCATTTCGCCGCGGCTTTGAGCTCATACGTCTCGCCGGTGATACCCAATGATAAAATCAGCTACATCGAAAATTGCGGATTGCCAAACATCTCCGTCGTTTGCGCATTGCGTGGAGCATGCTGGGAATGCCAGACGGCACTCCGCCGGCGATCAAGTCACGAACGAAATCCCAAAGTGAACGCAAAGCTAAGCATTAGATTTCTAAGCTGCGTCGGGCCTTCACTGGATAATACTTGGCGCATGCCGCGACGATCACACTTGAGGAATCAGCGCGCTGGCCCTTGAGAATGAAAGGGTATGAAAATACATGTTGTTCGTTGCGACATCCCCAATCGCTCCACCCCAACAGTCTGAGATCCGAATCGGCCGTAATCTGGATACCACTGTAATACCAAAAATCGTCCTCCGCGTCCATTGCCCAATTTGCTAAATAATCAGCTTCTCTGCTGAAATCCCTCCGTCTCACTGGGTCGCCTGTTGTATCTCGTGGCCTCCAATTCGTAGTTAGTGAAGTGTCCGCCATGTTCGTCGAGATATCCTCTGTGAGGGCGTGTGCGTGCTCTTCATGTTTCGCCCTGCCAGCAAGAAACCACTATTTGGCTATCCGAAATAATCTGCATTGTGCGGGTGCGCCCTACACAAAGATCTGTTGCCTCGTACTGCTCCATCCCACCAAGCATATCTCGAAACAGATGCCAATGATGCGTGTCGAGGTGTTCCGATTGCGTCCTCCGCTTCCTCCCGATCCTTGAGGCGGTCGGCATAGACGCCGGCACGAAGATAAACGGCTTTAAACTGCATTAACGAGGTACACGCACGCGCTTGTTGTCGCGCGCCCATGCTGGAATCTTTTCAGCAACAATGTGTTTCGCAACGGTTTCAAATTCGCGCGCCCTGAACTTAAAGGAAAAACGCACGGTTTACTAGCATGCTTTGTTTCAAGGTCTGCGCGCATTTTTGCGAATTCGCGCGAGTTCTTGCAAATTCTGGCGCCAAACTAGCTGGTGACTCTGCGCGCAAAGTTGCGCGCAGAAGCGCGGCCGAAGACCTGCGCCAGCCAGTGCAAACAGTTACGCCAGATTCGCGCTCCCGAGGCGACGATTTCTGCTACATTATGTCAGGCTCGCGCTCCCGAAGCCAGAACCCCTCGCGCATTTCACAGGATTCGTGCCCCAAAAACCACAGTCCTCGTCAGTTACGCCAGAATCGCGCTCCCAAGGCGACGATCTCTGGCAAATCATGCCAGATTCGCGCTCCCGAGGCCACGATTTTTTTAATGACGTCACGATTGCCAACCGTCCTCGCATGAGGTTCCGATGCTGCTTCTCCGATGCCGCTTCAAGTCGACTGATAGCGATGCGGCCAGCAGCAGAAGGCGAAGCCCTTACGGATCAAAGTTTCAGTCGCAACGTTCACGGTTACAATCGTGGACTCATCTGTACGATAACAAACGCCCCCACGCTATCCCCGAATACCTCTCCACATTCCTCCGGCCCTCCCAGCTTCCTCCTTCTTCCCTACATCTTCGTCTTCATCCTCACCACGATCATTCCCGTCCCCATCCCAAGCCTCACCGACTCAGGGCACTGCAGAAAGCATGGACAACCATGAAGGTGGGTAATACAGACACACACACACACACTTCGACCACACCCAACTGCCTCGTGGAGGCAGTGACGGCCTTCCTGGACCCAGGCATAAAAACCTTGGCCACCCATCCTCCATCCCCATCCTCAGCAGTGAGAAAGAGGGCGGGGCAGTGGAAAGACTCTGGACTTGCCCCTCCTATATCCTACCGCGCGAACGCTGACAACCCACCTTCGCATGATGCCGTGTGCAGACTGCCTGTGCGCTCAGGTTGCTGAGGGCACCGTGCGAGGAGGGAGGGGCGCCGCCGCCGCCGTCGCCGCCGCGGTCTCAGACAGTTTCGCAATCACGCAGCCGACCAGAGGCGTGGACTCCTTCCAGGGGGCCAGCCTCTCTAGGAGGCCACATGCGAACCCTCCCCCACCTCCCCCCTTCAGACATCGTGGGGTGGTGGGGTACAGGGCTCGCATGTGTCCTTTTTATTTGCATCAATGCATCAGGAGTCCGCAGTGATAGCCTCGGGGCATGGCACGGGCCTGCGGAGGCGGACAATTGTCCAGCAAGAGGCCGCCCGTCGTGAGCTTGTTCGCGACGCGCGGCGGTCTGCGTTGGGGGCTCAAGCACCGACTCCCAGACCCATCCTGGGGCGTGGTTCGGGCAGGATCTCGAGGTGGATCCGACCCTGACGACGAGAGGCCTCTCATGGGCCCCAGAAGGGCAACGGAAATTGAAGATCCCAGACCCCTGACTTCGTGATTGTTTCTCGACGTCGACCCCCAGAGGTCTGGACCCCTTCCCGGGACCGACTGTTCCTCCTGACTCGTTGTTTGACGGTCCCGAGGCCCCGGAAGGGTCCCCGGAGGCCGAAAATAGCGAACAACCTCCCGTCGCAATTCTGTTCACAGCGCGAGGTGGTCTGGGATGCACCTCGACCGTCAAACTTCGAGCCGCCGCCGCCGCTGCCGTCGTCGCTCCCCCGGCCGTGGGCGGCCGCCGCGCGCAGGGGGGGGCATGCTAGCGACGTGCGCGGGGGTCGCCTCCCGGCGGGCGTCAGCGGTGGAGAACCTGGGAGGCAGGGGAGGGAGGGAGGGAGGGAGGGAGGGAGGGAGGAGGGAGGAGGGAGGAGGAGGAGGAGGAGAGAGGAGGAGGAGGAGGGAGGAGGGGAGGAGGAGGAGGAGGAGGAAGGAGGAGGAGAAGGAGGAGGAGGAGGAGGAGCAGGAGGAGGAGGAGCAGGAGGAGGGGCGCCAGAAGAGCCTCAGGGCGGAGCCGACCAGCCACAACTGGGGGGAGCTGTGGTCCTTACCCCCCCGGGGGGAACCCATCGCCTCGGCGATCTCTCGAGAGGGGTGTCGAGATCGATGGGTCCCCCCAGGGGGGTAAGGACCGCAGCTCCCCCAGCTGTGGCTGGCCTGCGGAGGGAGAGGGCGAGGGAGCCAGGCGAGGGGGGGAGGGCGCGGGAGCCAGGAGGGGGCGCGAGGGCGGGGGAGAGCCAGAGGGCGGGAGGGGGGGGGGGCGGCGGGGCCTGGAAGGGGGAGGGGGGGCGGGGGGCGTTGGAGCCAGACGAGGGGGGGGGGCGAGGGTCGGGGCAGGGAGAAAATGCGAGGGCAGGAGGGGTGCGCGAGGGAGGGGGGGCCCGAGGAGCCAGCCACGAGGAGGGACGGCGGAGGCCACGACAGGCGAGGAGGGAGCCCTGGGATGGTCCTCGTGATTTCACGGCTCATGGGGCCCCTGAGATTACGAGAAATCACGCTCCGCGCCGTGGACAACACCTTGACGGCATGCTTTTCGCAATTTCAGGGCTCTGGGGGCCCTCAGCGCGTCCCGGAACCGGTGAGGAGGATCTGGCCTGGGAGCCGGTCGAGACCCTCCGGGGGTCCACGCTGCGAAGAGATCGCGACGCCGGGACATCTGGCGGGCAGTAGGGACGAAGGGGGGGAGGAGGCGAGAGGGGGGGAGGAGGGGATGCGAAGGGAGGGAAGGGAGCGGAGGGGAGGGCAGGGGGGAAGGGCTGGGAGAGAGGCCGAGAGAGAGAGGCGGCGCGAAGGAGGGGAGGAAAGGGAGGGGAGGAGGGGTGGCCCGAGGCCCCTGCCAGAGGGCGATCTGAACGACACATCGGGGAGGCAGTTGCGCACCTCTTCCTCTGCTTCCTCTGCTTGCGGGGAGCACGCAGAGCACCGCACACCACCCGCTGAACGTTTGGATGCCCGCGCGGCCGTCTTAAGGTCGGCGCCGGGCCCCCTCTCTCCACACGCCCCTCCCGTGGGCGGCGCCAGGAGGCGCCGCCGGGGGGTGGCGGGGAGGCGCGGGGAGGCGGGTCCAACGCCGACGCAAGAGACCTGCGTGGACCTCCGCACCGTTGTGCTGGGTTTTTCGATCCTCCACCTCCGCCGATGAAGACAACAACGAAGACAACGACGCCGACACCGACGCCGACGCCGACGACGACTACTGTGACCCTTTGACTCTGATCTTGATAAGCTCAGGACGGCCTAGCAGCACGGCTCCGTGAATTTCTCACCACGTGCACCCCCAGAAAGGCCCCGACCCCTTGCCAAGGGCCAATTTCGCATCCCGAGCCGTTGATTGACAGTCCTGGAATCTGGCGAGGGTCCCCCGAGATAATCATGGAGTCAGAAAAAGTAGAATGATAAATTGTGGGAGTTCCGCACGGATTTCTTGGATTGGCGCTGGACCCCTCTGCTTGGCGCACGGAGCGCGCCAGCGGCGGCGCCAGAGGCGCCGCCAGGGGGTCCATAGATGATCGGAGAAATCCGCACGGACCTCCGAAAGTTTACGTAGGATTCAGCAGATATTCCTCTGACAAAATTTACACACTGCTGAAGCATAGATTTGACCACGGCGCAAGCAACGAACGAACTAACGTACGATCACCACTGCGAGCAGTGCCTGGGTCTGTCTGAGACCAGGTGGGCGAAGCCGTAGGCTCCAGATTCTGGCTTTTGCAGCAGCGCGTGCGAGCACATATAAAGCAGATGTTCGGTCGGACAGACGAAGGGCAGAATGATGAGGGTTCGCCTGGATTCGCCTGCCGCGCACACACGCGCAGATAACAGATTCAATCGCTCTCACCGCTGCTGACATCGCATATACCTGGCTGCTCATTGTCACCCTCCTCCGCCCTCAAGGCGGCAGCAACAGCTCTGAGGGTGTGTGCCTCATTCTCGTCACCACCGAGGCACTTGGACGAAGCGCGAGAAAAATCAGCGGAGGCGGCGGCAGTACAAAAGGGTGGAGGCGCCTCTGAAGCCAGCTGAGGACGGGCGGGGATGAGACGAGGACGGGGGGTCGTCATCCATCGACGCTGTTGCTGCGACGCCGTCTGGCGTTTCTCCCTCCGGCCCCTCCCTCGGGCGGGGGTGCCAGGAGTTCGGGGGTCTCGGGCGGAAGCCGAAGTCCGCGGTCATGAGCCTCGAGAAGGAAGGGAGGGGGAGGGGGCCCAGACATGCGACGTCCTGACTTTTTTCCATACGGGAGCCCGACCCTCCTCTCCCCAGGCCTGGTTTTGCATCCTGGGCCCCGGCCCCAGGGCCCTGGGCGCGGAGAGGGCCCCCCGAGACCGACAACGCCGGAAAATTTCCCTTCCCGCGCGTGCGTGCGTGTGTGTGTGTGTGTGCGTGTGTGTGTGTGTGTGTGTGCGTGTGTGCGTGTGTGCGTGTGTGCGTGTGTGCGTGTGTGCGTGTGTGCGTGTGTGCGTGTGTGCGTGTGTGCGTGTGTGCGTGTGTGCGTGTGTGCGTGCGTGCGTGCGTGCGTGCGTGCGTGAGTGCGTGCGTGCGTGCGTGCGTGCGTGCGTGCGTGCGTGCGTGCGTGCGTGCGTGCGTGCGTGCGTGCGTGCGTGCGTGCGTGCGTGCGTGCGTGCGTGCGTGCGTGCGTGCGTGAGTGGGTGTGTGTGTGTGTGTGTGTGTGTGTGTGTGTGTGTGTGTGTGTGTGTGTGTGTGTGTGTGTGTGTGTGTGTGTGTGTGTGTGTGTGTGTGTGTGTGTGTGTGTGTGTGTGTGTGTGTGTGTGTGTGTGTGTGTG